CTTCTGTTTAATAAAAAACAAGGGTTCAGCACTACATTAGTGTGACTTATAACACTTGAGATTTGCCAGCATGAATTTTACATATGTGCACGCTGTAATGAAATGCATGCAATGCTAATTGATAAAGCTAATGTGTCTTTGGGTGCTGACGACATTAAGACCACATTAAGACCACGTTAAAGAAATAGTTCACCGCAAAATTAGGCTTCTGTCATTATTTACTCGCCCTCATTTTAAATCCATATGTGACACTGGACCACAAAACCAGTCATAAGGGTCAATTTTTTAAAATTTATACATTCCATTGATGTATGGTTTGTTAGGATAGGACAATATTTGGCCGAGATATTTTGAAAATCTGGAATCTGAGGGTGAAAAAAAAAATCTAAATATTGAGAAAATCGCCTTTAAAGTTGTCCAAATGAAGTTCTTAGCAATGCATATTACTAATTAAAAATTAAGTTTTGATATATTTACGGTAGGAAATTTACAAAATATCTTTATGGAACATGATCTTTATTTAATATCCTAATGATTTTTGACATAAAAGAAATATCAATAATTTTGACCCATAAAATGTATTGTTGGCTATTTCTACAAATATAACGGTGTGACTTAAGACTGGTTTTGTGGTCCAGGGTCACATATAGCTATTATGTATGTTATGTATTTATTTATTTAGTTATATTCTAGTAAAAATAAAGAGCTATTGCATCAGAAATAAATGTAAGGGTTTGAAACAACATGAGGGTGTATAAATGACAGAACTCCTTATTTATGTCATTATAGAAGATTTTACAAGTCAAAAGTTACAAAAAATTACATTATCGAAGTACAATCAGTGTTCAAAACTGTTCTTACCCCAACCCATTTTCTAAATTAAACGACTTTGAAAGTGTTGTGTTTCAGCCACAGGTGGTGATAGAGAGGCCAACACATTCCATAATGAACCTTTAAACCTGGGTAGAATACGTCACATCCCAGCACTGCTGCTCTCCATCTACTTAAAACTACTCTGAAGTTCATTGTGGAGTGTGAGCGTGATCAGGACGCTTTGCCAGATGTTCTCACAGTGAGCTCCTCCACCTTTGGCTACAATGTTAGCTGTGTCATCCTGACAAATGATCCTAAAGAGCATTACGTTAACCAGAAAGTACGGCGTTGGGGTAATTCAAGTTTTTGAGGTTTCAACAAAGACTTTCATTTTGTAACTTATAAATCACAACCACAGACTCTGTCTATTAAACATTACCCCACCTCGGTAGTTTGCAATGCTTCATTTATCAGCATCTAAACAAACAAAACAAGACAGGCACATGATTACAGGGACATTTCGCTCCCTGCACCCCCTTATTGGCTGCAAGAGAACTGTTTGTGAGGAAACCTTCCTGTTCGTGAGTTTGGTGTTAGCGAGACATCCGTGTGCATGACCGCGGCATGGCACTGGCTTGCGGAAACGTTGCCAGTTATGTTGACTACATTCCTCCCTCAGCTCCACCCCCGACCCACTCACTCATCTGAGACGCCTGTGTTTGTCCAACCACTTGTTTTGCAAGATGAAATGGCAGCAAATCAAGTGTTCGAGTCAAGTAGTTCTCATGTGTTTCCTTCACTTTGGTCCGCTACATGCTTTCTCCAACAGAGCGCCTCATTTTCAATTCACACAAAACCTTGTACGACAGTTGTTCTTTCAACCTCGCAGCATTTTACAGCGGCTTACGATATCTATTTGTAGGCTACTTCTTCTATGAAGCTTTGCCGTTTGCAGGCTTATACAGGATATGAGATGAATTAGCTGCCGTTTTCCAGACATCAGCGGTACAATGCCTCGATGGGACGCCGCTTCTCACGGTGACAGTGAAATGATCCTTCTCTTATTAAACACCTCCATCCTTATAAAGGTGGGTAATATAGTCTCCCGCTTTTACCTGGAGGTGGGAGCCGCATTAAATATTAATTAAAAGTCACATCAGGAGCGCCACGCTTATATCAGTCTTCCCGGTCTTCAGGCGGAGACGGAAGCGATAAGTAACTTTATTACCTCCATCGTGGATGGAAGGAAGGCGGTAGGGGAGGAATAAGGGAAAAGAGGGACTGCAGAGTGGAAAGAGATTTATCTGTTGTGCAGACGCTTTCGTGATTCTGCGATGAGACTGATTTCGCTATGTGAATAGGGGTTCTGTGGGGCAGAGACAGAAAAAAGAGAAAGATTATTAGAAGAATACAAGAGTAGGATACTCAGTGCTGTGAGTTGAGGTGAAAAAGTGAAAACGAGGGCGGGGATTTTTGTGGTGTAGATTGGGGCTCTGTGATGCTTCCAGCATTTAATTAAATCACTGGGGTTTGAGACTCACATCCTGCACCCAAAATCAACCTCCCCTTGGTTACGGTGTCCTGTTAAGGAAGGTATTGATGTATCGATAAACATCCCTTCGTCAAGGTTTTAATGAAGCTAAGCTAAATCTTTATTAAATGTACTCTTTGAGTTAGGTTCAAACTTTTTAATTAACTAAGTTCGGAGCAAACATTACACTTGGGTTTTTCAAGTTCGGGCACTTGTATGTCCCAGGGGTTGACTTTTATTAAACGTTTTTTTCTCATGTGAAGGTCACATTAAAACGTGTCATTTTTTAATTTAAAATTTGTAATTTTTAAATTTTTTTTTGTTGTTGTTTATTTTCAAATATCTTTTATGTATAGATTTTTGTTCCAGGCCTCAATGAAAATCTATTTAATAAATGCATGTTATAAATCTTATTGTGAATGAGTCATCCATTTGCAGGTTTATTTTTAAGTTTTTTTTTTCTTGTTTGATAATCTGTTTAACTTGGATGTAAGTCACAATACTGAAGAAAGGATTTGTCATTACTTCCATTTCATTGCAACTTTAAAATGCACATATTATATTTTTACAGTATTACAGCTTTAAACAAAATGATTACAAAAAGTGTCAGCAAATATTAACACTGTTTATAATATTTTTAAATACATTTCTGATTTGTAAATGAATGCATCGTATGTGTTATCAAATGAATATTGTTGTGTTGAATAAATTTACAGTTATTTTGTCAAATTATGCAAAAAGTGTGAAAATATTATTCAATAGTGTGCAGTTTATTCTATTTTTTTTTACAAAGTGTTAAAATGTAATTTCCATCATGTTCATTTCCACCACATAATTTAATGAAACACAATACATAATTTGAGATATGGTGGAAATTATATTGTGGTGGAAGTGTTCATGGTAATTAGAAATACATAAATAAATTTCAGATTTTTAAATGAATGCATCTAATGTATAAATAAATGAATATTGTTGTGTTTAAATGAATAAAATGTACTGTTATTTTTGTCAAATTATGCAAAAAGTGTGAAAATATTGTTCAATAGTGTGTATTTAGGATGCATAAAATGAAACTGAGTTTCATGCAATAGATTGAAATGTACTTTATCTAGCTTGCTTTCATTTGAGCTGATCCTGTTGTTCTCTTTGTCCTTCGCAGGTATGGAAAAATAGTGTCAACAAAGGCAATCCTGGACAAAAACACCAACCAGTGCAAAGGTGAGTACTGCAGTCAATATCAGCTCACATTAAAAACACGCTCAGAGAGCATTCACAGTCTCACTTAAAATAATCAATAATCCTTGTAAAATGACAGCTTTTGAAAGACTCTGATTAGTCTGGCGATTGTGTGGATGATCTTTAGAGGAGGAAATGCGTTAGCGGGATTGTGGGTGAAGTCTTTACAACCGGATAAGATGTTAGCGTGACTAACAGGGTTAGCCGCGGCGAGGAAAAGCACAGGGTTCCTCCTGTGTTGATTTGAAAAGTCCGGGCCTAGTTGTGGTGCTTTAAAAATAGCCATAGGGGCAAGGGAAGCGTCCGGCTGAAATTGATGATTTAGCAGACAGCCTCTTTTCAGGAAACACTCAGCCAGCGCTGTACATAAACTGCCTGGCTTCCTACACAATCTGCCAAACCGGGTCCCGCAGGTTTTTCTCCTGTTTTGTGTGTATGCATGTGTGCGTCTTTCTCTTTGTCATGCTTTCTCTCTGAGGGCACATCTAATGTGTCCAAAAATGAGTATTAATGCCCACATGAGAACAGGAGAGAGAGGGAGTTTTTGGGAAGCAGAGGAAATCACTCCAGGCTTTAGAGGACTTCCACTTCCTGGAGTTAACAGCCCTCCTACCCTGCCAGGCTTCTCCACCCTGATGGGCTTCCAGCCAGGACTTATGAGAGCCAAGGATATCAGACAGGAAACAAACAAAAAGATGGATTTGCTTCATTCACGGCTTCGCTGAATCTACTTATGTTTGTCCTGCTTGTTTCTACGCCATCCTTTTTTTTTTTTTTGCACAGGA